TTTCCGCCCTTTATAACCCCACATTGTTAAGGTAATATGTCACATGACTCTGATGGTCTCATTCTTTCCGCCCTTTATAACCCCACATTGTTAAGGTAATATGTCACATGACTCTGATGGTCTCATTCTTTCCGCCCTTTATAACCACACATTGTTAAGGTAATATGTCACATGCCTCTGATGGTCACATTCTTTCCGCCCTTTTACAACCTCACATTGTTAAGGTAATATGTCACATGACTCTGATGGTCTCATTCTTCCCGCCATTTATAACCCCACATTGTTAAGGTAATATGTCACATGACTCTGATGGTCTCATTCTTTCTGCCCTTTATAAACTCACATTGTTAAGGTAATATGTCACATGACTCTGATGGTCTCATTCGTTCCGCCCTTTATAACCACACATTGTTAAGGTAATACGTCACATAAACCCGATGGTCTCATTCTTTCCGCCCTTTATAACCTCACACTGTTAAAATGAAAGGTCATATAACTCTTATGGTCTTATTTTAAGTGTTCACAGAAACAGGCTTAATGTTGATTTGACCACAACAACAGCAATTCTATAGCAAGCCCATACACAGAATCTTACAAAGGGGGTTCTAATTTGTGAGATCAAAAACTAACACATATTGTGCTAATGCTACAGGTGTCTGGGGGCATGCCCCCTAGAAACTTAGTGAAGAATAAGTGCTATGAGATTCAATCTGGAAGTAATTTTGCATGAAATATAGTTTAAACAATTGCATGGCTGTTCACATAAAATCCACAAACATCCAATGAAAAGTCAACAAATTATCGTTCTGTTGTAACACTGCATGGGGAACTAGACTTAAATCAGCATAAATATGTACGTTTTATTACAGTAAAGTACTGTATTATCTACATGCAGAGTGGTTATATATTCTTAAGTTATATCACTAATTTAAACTCTGTACAACGATACTATGTTAGCTATTTCAGTCATTGGCTGTCATATACGTACATGTATGCACTACTGAAATAACATGCTAGCATGCTCCACTCTTCTGGGGTGCTTTTTCATAAATAACTTACATAAAGTTTCAATGTTC